TGCAAGCTGAATCTTTGGGTTCCTTTAAATCAGAGCTAGATAAGATATTAACAACTCTGAGCTATTAGTTAAGTTCTCCCCAAGCGAGCTCAATGGGCCGAATGGCCTCCTCTCGTTTGTATAGTTCTTATGTTCTAACAAAGAACATGGGCCTGGGAAGCCTGAAACGATGGACTGGAGGCAGCAGATTCTGGCTGGCGGGAGTCAGCAGTGACGTTACAGTGCCTAATAAAAAGATAACAATCATAATCAATCTCATTTCAGGGCCAGGGAGAGAGAGCTTCAGCGTATGTATTTGTAAACAAAGGCATCCTCACACTAACAAACTTTATAGACCTTACCTATACGGGCATGAGTTTTACTTCCTCCCAAATACTCCAGGCTTAGGTGTTGAGTGACACTAGACAGGGTTGGAGACCCTCACGACGAAACACCTAGCTATGAGTATCATTGTGCTTCTTTTATTTCCGCTGTTCTGCACCCCCACCCCACCAAAATGAAAAGTTGGGCAATCGGCTCTGCCTTCTGCTCTTAGCTTATTAGCTAACGAAAAAATTCTCTGCTGTCCCTTACCCACGAAAATGTCGCGCAACACTGGAACTGGACTCACTGCCTTCATTAGCGTTAACCGGTAGCATCTCTGCTTCGGAACGTGTTCGCGGCTCCACGACATCGCTGCGCTTTCTCAGGGAATATAAATTGAGTAATTAATTCAAAGTATGTCTCTGTAGGCACTTCTGTGTCCATTAGACCAAGAATGCATGTTCTACTATCTCTAAAAATAGGGGGGGGGGGGGCGTGATGTCTTAATGAGCATATCTATTGACGAGCATACCTCCTTCTGGTTTTTGCCTCAATTATTTGGGTTGTTTATAGCTGAAACAATCACTCGTTCGTTTTGCAAGGCAACTGAAATGGCATTTGTTTTGACAAACTGCCGCTTTTACTTCCACAGAAAACAAAAACAACATTGTTTTGTTATCATCGGTAAAAGCCCGCCCACAGACCGAGGCCCAAGAAACCCTGCCTCGTCCTAGTGCAATCAGCATTTATTTATGGCCACGGCTTCTATTTAATCTCATTTGTGCATGGCGTTGCATTCCTGCTCCGTTTACCGAGATGTATGAATGACTCCTTCTACTGTCTTAATTACTCCATAAAACTGTTTCACTGGCATATTACCCATGAGTGCATTCCAGTGAGACTGCAGCACCGTCTTAATTGCCAACTGACAGACACAATTAAACAAATGGGCCAAACAAGAAAAAGGAAAGGAAATTTTATTTTTATAAGAATAACAACTATATACCTTCTACCAGAAATAAACCATAGAGGCAGGACTCTTCTCTTAATATTTGACTGATATTAATAAGTATAGCCCATTAATGAAATACTCCTGTAAATCAGAATGTTTTGTTTTCTGTTCAAAACATTTCTAAATAATAATGTGTATATATGATCAAATGAAAGGATGTATCTTACGGGCCACAAAGAACCACTTTGTTTAAGACCATCGTTTAAGAGTCTAGGGCACTTTTCAATACAGCATGTTAGATAATTTTCTTAAGCCCATCTGATGTTTACATGTCGATTATTTTGTGCAGACGAAACCCTACTGATTACGCAAAGGAATTATGGGTCCTGGTAAAATAAGACACCCATTAGACACTCTCAAAGAGACGTCCTAAGAGAGGAAAGCAAATTATACAGGAGATGCAGCCTCTCATCTGAAAATGGCGAACAGCTAAGTCCTCTTAATGGTTATCATGGAGCGGAGCAGAGAATGCGTCTCAGCTGAAGACTCACACTGCTGTACTGAAGAGGCCTGTAATCTTATCCATATGTGAGAAAAGACGAAACAGCATGTTTACAGTACATTTTAGAGGTTATACCCCAAAATGACCCTGCGTTCATAATTCTCAGGACATTTTTGATCATGTTTTGGAAATTTGAAACTTCATATAAAAGACCTCAACAAAAAGGGTGATTGCTTTCAGAAATATGTCATGGATAATATATGTAACATACAGTATATGCGCAACATATTTTACAATATTCAGCTGTGAGGTGTTCTTTACAACATTTAGAGCTGTTTAATATTTTTTGCATAAATCAAGATCATTGTTTTTTCTAGCTTAGTAAACTGCAAACAGGACATGTGTAGTCATCATTTATAATTTAATTCAATTAAATCTTGGAACAATATTTGATGATTTTAAAAACAGCAATCTGTTTTTATTTTCTGTCCAGCCCTCTTCAGCATGACAAATGGGTGGAAATTACATGTGTGTTGGGCAGGAATCATTGTCTGAAGTTCTGAATGCCTGCCAATATAACTGCTGGCTAGGACATACATATGCACACATGCACACACTCACAGACGAGCTGGGACAGGGCCTGGATCCTGGACGTCAAACAGGCCACTTTCTGATCTTCACATGCCAAATTCTGCAATGGCCCGGTCGGCCTGCGGAATCTTTTTTCCGAAAGCAGAGCGGGGGAATTCCTGCTTCTTCCCGTCACAGGCTTCCTTCCCCTGGCTGCTTTCAGCACTGCAACGTCACGACCTCCTTCAGTGCATGGAGGATCTCTGGAGTGGGCAAGGCCATCGGACAGGGGGGGTGGTTGAAGTGACCAAAAAATAAAATGCTCGTTAGTCTGACCTCCCGACCCACCGATAACGATTTACATGCAAATTTTGCACCACAGTCCAGGGTGTGGAATGAGAGTTTCTCTGACAATAATGACACTGCAGCCAAGGTCAATAACACACACACACACACACACACACACACTTTGTATATGGTACCTAATGAAAATGTCGTGCCTGCTTTTTAAGTGAAAAAAATATTCTGTGCCTTGTGATTATTATTTATATATTACTTTAAAGAATAATTCCCTTATTGCGGCCAATGTGCACATGTAATAATATATCTACATGGCTTTCTGCGATTGCCTGGGAGGATATTATATTATGGAAACAGGAGCAGTGTAGAAGCCCGGGAGGATGACATTCCAGTGACAGGTATTGTTAACACTGGGGCAAAAAAGCCTGTACATACAGCTACTTCCTTCTGTCTGCCCCTTCAAATCATAGGCTCCCCGGCCTGGAACTCCATTTCTCTTTCACTGTTTTTAAACCGCATCCTATTTAAAGTAGATATGTGAATAAAAGGATAGTCTATCGCTCTTACTTCATGTGGAGATTACTCCTGGCGAGCCTTTTGACGCTACAAAGCGAGGTTTGAATTGAACTGCATTTCCGCGAACCTCGTCTCGTCCCTTTCGCTACCGGGCAGAAAATTAAATCCATTTCATCCAATTAGGATCTGAATAGTAAACAGAAAAATTGGCCTCCGGCATTTGTGCGGGCACTCGAGGGCCCTTTACATGTACTGGTTAGGGTTGGGACGCAATATCGAAAATGTGGGATGCCTTTTCGAAGGCACTGGCCTTATTTGTAGCAAACAGGTGCAAGGAGAGGATTAAAAAGCGGTATTTATGGGAAGATTTATGAAGGCTCTGGGGCCCGTCGGGGGGGGGGGGGGGGATGTTCATGCAGCTGAGAGAGACGCCCTCGCCTTCCCAGAGTGCTCTGCTCCAGAAGCGGGATGAAACTTCCCATGGTGCCTCTGGAGCCGTGATGTCTGCTATATAGAGTGGAAGTGAAAGCGAGTGAAATCGGCCTTTCGTTTGCACACGTGAACCGGCACGGGGGGTGGGGGGTCAGTGGGGAGCATTAGAATGCAGGCTGCTGCTGGGGGTGCTCGCAATTTTAAAGCAGTTATGAATTACTGTTGACCTCCCTGGCCTCTCACAGTGACAGGCTCGACTGCGGCATATTGAAAGTCATCAGTCTGGCAAAGCCATTCTTCTCTGTTTGATGGGCTGGGGAGGGGGGGGGGGAACAACAAAACAACAACAAAAACATTACTGAACTCCACCATAATATCCCTGATGTATATTGGATGTGGGCAAATAAACAAAATAAGGCAAAGGAAAAAGACCCAATGAAATGTCTTTCATATTTCATACCCATAAAAGAATTCTTCCTTATTCCAGTAACAAATAAACAACACATATTATGGATTGTATTTTGCATTTACTTAGTAACTTTTCCCAAAAGATGTAGCCTTTCTTGTTCAAACATATTAAACAGAAAATATGTGTTATGAAATTGATATTTCTACACCTTCGCCCAATATAAAAAGAACGTGAATATAAAACTGATAATGAGCTCTACATATGCGGGGTTCCACACCTTGAGTGTTCTGATGTAACTTTTTGTTTATATGTGGTCATATATTTGTATATATCAAACCATCAGGCCCTGATGGCACACAAAAGTGAGCTCTGCGCTCAGATCATTGAAGGCCTTATAATTACGACCATTCATTACAGCCCGGCCCTTCTGTGATATGACCGAGTGCATCTTTTATGACCACTGACACTGCAGGGAAACCAACAGCGACGACGTCAGAATAAACACGCCAGAATATAACTCCTTTAGACATCTTTAATAATTAACAAAGGGCTTTCAGTTTGTTGTAGAACATACCAAACAACACATTCTCTCCCGGTGTTTTCCTGCATCATTTAGTGTGGACCTCAGTCCTGGTATGAAGCAGTGAAACATCCTCCTCTGGTGTCGACTATGCTGCTGAAACTGTGTTTTCATAAACAGCCACAGATAGAGCAAGCGGTGAGCTGCGAGCGGACAGGGAAGCTGTTCAGATGACGATAGACAGACGCGGATGCTCGTGCACCGTGCTCTAACCTCCAGGCATTTACTGTAGGGAACGTATGTCATAGATGTAATGAAATTAGTAAACATTGAATTGATCAGTTGCGGCCACGCTGTAGAGCAGAGACCTCCCCACCACGTGGTGTCTGCCAGGGAGACACCCAAACCCCAGGCCAGGCAGTGCAGAAAGCATATGCAAATCCAAGCCATTAATCACGGGAATCCCGGGCTCTCTCCCTCAGCGATGCGGTCTGATTTAAGCGGCGCTCTCGCGACGACCCTCTGCTTCAGCTTCCCCACGCGCACCCGTCGCCGGAGCCCATTTTGCGGGCACTGGTTTTTATCGGTGGGACCGCAAGGCCCCCCTGCGTGGCGAACGACTGCGGGGTTTATGTTGCATACATATGACCTTGGGTAACGGAGACTTGGAGGAGGCAGGCCGGCGGCGCGGCCAGAGCCGGGATCTGCAGTGGGTGAGAGTCATGAGCCTCCATCCGAGGCAATCATTTAATGTATCACTCGCAGTGCTGGATTGCCACTGTCGCACACTGCATTGTCTCCAGCCTCGCTGTACCGTGAATGATAAACTAGCAAATATTCTTCACTGCCATGTCCTGCTCTCATCCTTCATCCCCTCCTCCCTGCTATCTCACACTAGGAAAAAAAAAAAATAAATAAAGTAGTAGTGCATTCTAACACACACATGCGCACACACATAACAAAGTGCGTAATGACACATGGGATATCGTATATGCGTTTGGGTCCGCGGCACTGGCTCCAGGGGAAGAATATCACATCAGAAGAGAGGCAGAGCTCATGCTGGCTTTCCGATAATAAGCATGACCATTTGGTATGCGCGGCAGCTCCGTAAAACAGGCGGCCTACATCCTTTCAGGTACATTTAACATCTGACCATTATTAGATAGGAAATATCCCATTTACTAATGTGAAGCCTAGTCGGCTTCCGAAAGACGAAGGATAATAGTCTGAAAAAGAGTGTGAATGTGAGAGGTACGTATTCCACATAAATGTGGCTCCTGAAGGGATCGACAGCCATGTTGAGAGGAGGACTCGTTAAAACCAGATCATCGGCCTCCATTAGAGTGAGAAGCTCCGAGCAGTTCTGGAGGTTCTCATCACGGATGGTGAGGAAGGCCCCAGAGTGCCGCTGCTCTTAAGGGACGTGTCACTCCTCAAGGTGAGAGTGTTCTGCGGGGGAACACAATTACTCACCACAATGAATATACATGCAGAACCCCAGCTAGCTGGAGCTGACCCAAACCATACGTCTTTACAATACTGTGGGGGGCAGGGGGTTCTGTCTTTATCGGGGAAGGAAAATGCTGACAGAGACGGGTTGGTTTTGCCGTGCTTGACCTTCATTTAAAACTCCAGTATGGCAGGTATATCATATATGGCTCTAAATATCTTTAGGGTCCAGTGCAATAGATGAATTGGGGGGAAAAAAAAACATTATATGTCACATCAGGTCCTGGAGAAAGCTGTATGGAAGGAAGATGAACTCTGCAAAATCAAAGGGCAGATTTATGGGTGAAATTTACTTCCTGATGGGTCATCTATTACTGAAGAAAGAACAATCATAGAGAGTCATTTCACAACGTGGGTGACCATAACCTCATTTAAGACTTTTAATTCAACGTATCAGTTCCATGAATTAAGATCATTTGGAAATATCTGTATATTGTACATTTTATATAAGGTGCGATATGACAATTGAATCTAAAGCATATATGGTACCTTCGGTGAGTAGCCTTACCACTACACAGATTAGCACAAGCGTGGGTCAGAAAATCCCAGTACAATTAAGAAACACATTGCTTTTATGAGACCAATCAATCTGTTTCTGTTATGCAGGTTCCATATTTAGTATTTATCTCTTGAGCACATTAATCACATGTAATCAAGTTTTAATTACACAAGTGAATGATGAAATTTGCAAACAGATTGCACGTCTGAAATTCATTAGCTGTTCGGGAGCGAGATCAAGCTACATGAAGAAATATGTTCGAGTGAGTGACAAAATCCATCATGGCTATCGCGGTCATATTTGGAAAAGGGCGATGCAAGCGACCTGTCGGCCAGGTGCCCGATTAATACGGATTCCCCATAATTGCCGCGCATAGGGGATTAGAGATTTAAATTACGCATGTGTGGGTAGCTTTACTGAATCGGCAAATGTGGCAGAGCTTCGATAAAAAGGGGGTGGGGCTAACCCAGAGTGAGATTTATAATGTGACATGAGAAATCGCCTAAATTAATTTTCCCGTATTCAGCTGACGCGCCACCGCCTCCCCCCTGTCCCCATCCCCCCCATTGGGCGTTACGTGTCTTATCTAGCTACTGCTGACAAAGGTTTCACAACTGAATGAAAAATGCGTCCCAGCGCCACAGAGAACCCCGGAAAGATCCGCGTCGCTCACCAGCTCCGCTATACTCCTGTCCGCGAAGGAGCTTAATAATCGATTGCGTAGCAGCAGGCGACGAGCGGCCTTCCTCCCAGCCGTCGCTGAATATTCCTTCTGATTAGCCTGCAGCTGGCCTGAGGAGACTGACATTCCCCCTGCACTGACATTTACAGTTTTGTTAAGGTTTTCCTGGTTTTATTGTGTGCCTCCCCAGAACCCTGCCGCCTCTTCTTGTGTGAGGTGTTTTTCTATGGGTGCCATGTGGTGCCAGGCGATGTGACTGGCTTGACTTTCATTTGTGGAGGGGTCCTGACAGAGCCAGAGCCACTACAATTAGCTGACCTGTCAGTGTTCTCATTGTCCTGCCCTCTCCAGCCACAAGAGTCACCCTTTCAATAGTGTTTCAATAGTGATTTGAGC